CGCAGTAGGGTGGCCATTGTCGTTGGCCGTGTGTGGGGGGGGCTGTCGGGCTTGCTCCGCACAGGGCTGCAAAGGGGAAAGTGTCAGGGGAGAGCCCAGGGACCATCTGTCTGCTCTGGGGCTACTCTGCCAGGCGTCCCCGCTCCAGAGTGCCCCACTGGGCCCTGAACAGAACCCCCTGCCCCTCCCCCTCGCTGGGCTACTCACCCCAATGATGCTGTTCAGTTCCCCCATGGTCACCTGCTTGGCCCGCTCTCCGCACAGGGCTGCAAAGGGGAAAGTGTCAGGGGAGAGCCCAGGGACCATCTGTCTGCTCTGGGGCTACTCTGCCAGGCGTCCCCGCTCCAGAGTGCCCCACTGGGCCCTGAACAGAACCCCCTGCCCCTCCCCCTCGCTGGGCTACTCACCCCAATGATGCTGTTCAGTTCCCCCATGGTCACCTGCTTGGCCCGCTCCACGGCCTGCAGCACCTGCTGCTGGTGCTGGCAAAGGAAGACAGGCTGGGTCAGGGTGTCCCGGAACAACTGAGGATCTGGGGGTCCCGGCGGGCTGGGTCCCGCGCCGAGCCGCCCCCTCCGGGGAGCTAAGTCCAGGGAACGCTCCCGTGGGAACAGCCCTTCAGGGGCCCTCTCGGTCCTGCCAGCACCGCTACTCATGGCAGCCTGGCACCCCCTGCACAGCGCAGCTCAGTCCTGGGCCAGCCAAGGTGCCTGGTCCTCCCTCTTACCTCCTGTGTCAGGAAGGGGGTGATCTGGGCGCAGATGGCACTCAGCCGCTTCACTATCTCCGCCTGGAAAGAGAAAGGGCAGCTGAGTGACGCCAGGCGCGGGCGCCGCTTGGGGAACGGGGGCCCTTAACTCAGGAGCTGGGGGGGGCTTCGCTGCTGCTGGGCATGGGCCGAACACCCAGCTGCCACCCAGCCTCCCGGGGCGGAAAGACCAAGGTGGCGTCTCTAGGGAGCACTGGCGAGGACGTTGCAGGGCAGGGATTCCAGGCATGGGCTGTCGCGGGCTGCACTGGTCCTGCTGGGCACGGATGCTGCAGCCTGAGCCTCTTGCCCATTGGTGCGAGGGCCGGGGACCCTCCTGGAGCTTGGCCAACCCGTTTCCAGGGGGTTGGGCGAGTAGCCGGAGTCAACCCCGACCATCTCCTAGAGGCTTTGCCGCCGGCTGCCTCTCCCCGCTGCCCAGACACACAGGTCACAGCACCCTCGGCAGAGGGAGCCTCGCGGTTCCCACGGCACAGATGGGAGAGAGACAGAAAGAGACCGAGCGCCTTACAGGGCAGGATTTAACCCTGAGCCCCGGCCAGCGCCTTCGCCACATCCTGGCTCAAACACCCGGCTGTTCTTTCACAGCTGAGCCAACTGAAAATCTCCTCCTAGCCAAAGGGCAGGCTGTGCTCAGTGCCGACCCTGGAGCGCCCGGAAACTCGGCTGGCACCCGGCCAGGGCAGAGGGGCCGCCCTACACAGGACTGATGTTTCTCTCCCTTCCGCTCCCGCTTCTGCCAAGTGGAACGTGACACCGATCGCGTTAGAGCTGGAGTCAAACTTTCCACCCCCCCCCCGCATTTGAGTGGGTTCAAAAGAAGGTAAAGAGAGTTCATCCACCCTCTCCTTGCCTCCCTGAGCCCTTGCTGGCAGGCTGCTTCAGGGGATGGGGCTGTAACTAGGGATCTAAAATCTGCCGCCCCCACCCTCACCCTGGGCTGCATCTGTCACCCCACCCAGGAAATCTCTCTAAACTGTCTGGGTTAGGGGGCTGCCTAGATCCAGTCTGTGCACTGCCATCTATTTAGATGCATCTATATAGACGGAGCTTGATCCTGCCTTGAGGGCGGGGGGCTGGACTCGATGACCTCTCGAGGTCCCTTCCAGTCCTATTATTCTATGATTCTATGATTCTATGATCACTGCACTTAGCCCTTCTGCTGGCTTCTCGGTGACACATCGCAGAGGGGGCCCACAATCATCTCCCGTTTACGGGGGGGAAACTGAGGCATTTCTGGGGCAGTGTCTTGCCGACAGTCGCAAAAGGAAACTGGGTAGAACCCAAGTCTTCTGCCCCCCAGCCTTGTGCCCTTCCTGCAAGGGAACAATTTCCCCAGGGACGCAGCAAGAGCCTTAGGGCTCGATAACATTTAAACCACATGCCTCACGCAGCAAATCTACCTTGGCACTCATCTGGGGACACACAGGAGCTGGGCTGCTCTATTTTTCCATCTCAGATTTCTAGGGCTCTGCAACGGAGGTGCAGAGAGATCTCGAGTGCTAATAAAAAGCCCAGGGGAGAACGCAACCCCCTAACCATTCCCAGTCACAGCCAGTGGCAGACAGCTCGCCCTGCCTGCCCTCCTGATGCCTGGTGGAAAGGGGCATCTGGCATGCAGCCACCAGAAACCAAAAGGGGTTAATGCGGTCCAAAGAAAATAAAAGCAGCATCACTCCTCATATGCACCTCTAACCACTAGATCGTACTTCCACCTGCAGCAAAGATGAGAACCCAGGAGTGTGTGCTCCACACACACAGAGCTAGGAGAGGAACCCAGGAGTTCAGGGACCCACCCCCACGCTAGCTTATATGCATTCCCAGAATTGGGAACAGAACTCAGGCATCTCTGTTCCCAGGCTCCTCTGTTCTAACCACTTGGCAACGCTCCTTTCCATCTCTCCGGGTCTTCATGGCCTTGTAAACCAAACAAATATGGTTTGTTCCTGTTCAGTTCCTGGGGCTCCCGTTGGATCTCAGGATCCCATCAGCGTTTGGAGTAAATTAGGAAGCTGAGAATGAAAGTGACTCTCCTGCACCACCCTGCTAACAAAAGGAGCAAACTTGGAGAGCGGAGCCAGCTGGAGAAATATGGCAGTCGACTTGCCACTTTGTCAGGCACCGTTCCAAACTAATTTCCCTGGCAGCGAGCCCTGCGATGACTAGATTGATCAATCTGAAGAGGAAAGCAAATTACAGCTGGAACAAAAAGAGACTGGGATGGTGAAAAACACTCCAGCATGTTTGGGAAGGGAGGAAAGAAAAGATCCATTTGATTTCCGCTCCTGTAGGCCTCCCCTCCAGCTCTCCGCTGTTCAGCCCCAGCTTTCTGTGTCATCGAGGTGCCAGATGAGCCCTCCCTGTAAGAGGGCTAATGCCTACTGTGCGTGGCCTGACTAGGGGACTTAGGGCCAGATTTCAAAGGTCTTTTGGTGCCTAAAGTTGGAAATAGGCACCAAGCGGGGTTTTCAGATATTAATGGGTCTGCAGCTTTTGATGTCGAAGGACGTTAAGAAATCTGATCGTTAGCTCCCCCTTAGATGGGCTAAGACCCAAAGGAAGCAGCACAGCCCTAGCCGCCAGACATCCACCAGAGTCCAGGGTATGTCTGAGCCTCGTGCCACACCTGCCCTTCACACCCGTCTCCTTCTCAGCCCTCCCCTTCCTTGTCTTTTCAGTTTAGCTGCTCCCCTCCTCACGAAACCACCCGGACATTATTAAACTAACAAAATCCTGGCTCTAAGCTCTATTTTCAGCCATTACATTGATTGCTCTGCTTAGGTCCTCCATCCTTTTCCTAGGGTCGCCTTATCTATGCAGAGCGCAAACATTTCAGGGCCAGGACAGCCTCTTCCGCTGTGTTTGCAGGGTTCAACATGCTACTGTACTAAGCATAATTCATAATGCAACACAGAGGGTCTGCCAAGTAGACATGGCGCACAGGTAGGCTTGGTAGAACTCCATTTTTATTTTGGGGGGGTATAATGTCAGCACATGCCTTTCTGGTATATTTTAAACCATTGTTCTTCACTTGTTACCAGCATCAGTTTTCAGTGACACAAATGTAGGTGTTATAACCATTCCTCCTTCTCTTTAAATTTTCACAGTTGCAGGAAATTCTGGGGGACCACAGACAATTATTATTTAATGACAGTAGATGCTGAGATTCAGCAAGTTGAAGCGTTATAACCGTTAAAACACAAACTGTCAACATCACATGTCAAAGTCCCCACAGGAAATAGCCTGAAACCAAAAGTTCTCTGGCAACATTTCTTTTTTTTTACTTCGCCCACCTGTAAATTTTGATCATCACCGATGGAAATATTTCCGCTGGTTTGTGTGTGTGCCCAATGAAATTGACATTTACTGACATTTACCAATAAAAATCGAGCCCTTCCAAATTACACACAGGCCACCGGTGAATGGCTCCATGCTCTGGACACTGAATGGGGGGTGTGGCTGGCTGGCTAATAGTGCCTTGGGGATACCCTTCATTGGCCTCCTCAGCTGGCTGCCTATTGGATTCAAGTCCCTGAGCAAACCAGAGGACCCCATGTGGACCCCATTTTAATCCCTAGGCTACATCCCTGCGGGGGTAAGTAACTTCTCCCAGCCTTTGCTCCAAGCCAGAAGGGTTAGAAAGCGCCGAGTTCAGATCCAGCCTCAGATGAAGACAAAGAACAGTCTGCATCAGGGTATGTCTACACTCCCCCGCTAGTTCGAACTAGCGGGGTAGTGTAGACATACCCATGAAGACAAAGAACAGTCGGCGTCAGAGTTAACTGGGCTTGGGCTTGGGACCAGTTTTCAGAGATGCTGGTACCCACATTGCCTCCAAAATCCTTGCCTCCCAGCTGGTCAAGAGCCCACCTTGCTTACCTGCTTGTGCATTTCGATGTTCAGCCCATAGGACATTTCGTAGTACTGAAAGCAAACCAGAACACAACCGGTTAGAACTCCCCATTTGCCACTTGACAACCAATAGTTACCAGCCGGCCTCGGTAGCTATTCCACGTGGTTTCCACCCGTCCCGGCCAACCTGGCCCTGGTGTAACTCCATCAGCAGTCGATTGCAGAGACGGGTTTCGCTTTCCTCGGGATCGGGCCCAGATTTACTCTGCCTGTCAGAGGGGCACGCTCGTAATTCTATCTGGTTGTAGGGAATGGTGCGAGGCACTGGCCTCCTCCAGTTCTGAAAGGGTGGGAGGAGCCCACAGGACAAAAGCCCCCTCCCGCCCCCCAGAGGTGGGAGGGGCCACACAACCAGGATTCAGCTTAGTAGGGAGGACAAAACCAGGGCCAGGGGAGTGGTTCACCAGCCTTGGAGACTGAGGGTCTCTCCCTGGGCAGCCGTGGAACAAGCTCCAGGGGCATTGTTTCAGGAGGGGTGTTCAGACTCCGCAGCCCAGTCTAACCCGGGCCTATTCTGATGGGCCTGCCACAGCAGGGTGCGTTAGGGATTCAAGACAGTAGCTCGGGATCTTTGATTGGCCCTGGGGGCGGAACACCCACGCGAAGGAGCAGTCAAAGAAACAAAAGGAGGCGAATTCACAGACTCCTAGAAGATATGGGTGGGAAGAGACCTCAGCAGGTCACCTCCAGCAACCGCCTGCTCAAAGTGTGACCATCCCCAAGGACTTCAAAGCTGGTCCCAGGAACTGACTCTTTTCTCCGGACGAAAGCTCCGTTTATTCTGCAGAACTCCTTACCACAAGAAGTCACAGAGGCCGAGAACTTGGTAGGATTTGGAAGGGGATCATACCCGTAAGAAAGTAAAGCCAGAACGACAGTAAAAATTAAAAAACCAATGTGTATTCTGGAAGGAAAATAAACCCTTACGCTTCAGGGTATGCACAACCCCTAGCTTTTGAGGTCAGGAGGAAGTTTTCCCAGGAGGCAGCCTGTCCCAACACTGCATACCAGCCTCCTTCTGAAGCAGCTGGTAACATCCGAGACAAGATATTGAGCAGGA